GGGGGGAGCCAGGTTGTCCTGTCTCCAAAGCTTAAGGTTGTAAAATACCTCCCAGTAGTTTTCAACTGTTTACGTTAAGCAAAGGAAACCTATTTTCAATGTTCTCCCATGAAACTCCAACATTCCAACATTCAGATAAGGAGAAACTGCTGGGAAAAGTGGGAGCAGAGCAGGGTTGGGGCCTGGGAGCCCTGCCCATCTCTACCTGGTCCCTTAAGATGGAAGGTTCTGGGTTCCCCGATGTGCTAAGGTGGGGGTCCGAGGGTGAGGGGTTGAATGTGGCTGTGCCTGCATGGGGAGGGGGTCCAGAATGAAGGGGTTTCCCTGAGCCCAAGGCAATCCTCTTAAACTTGCCTAATCAGCCCATTAAGCCTATTAGGTAATTGGCTCGCCCCAGGGTGCCTTCCCATCAATCATCCCGGCCCTCCCCCCAATTCCCTTTCTCCCCTGGGTTCCCAGAGGTGGCCCCTTGTCTGCCCTGCCCCTAAACCTGGCTCAGAGATGAGGGCTAGTTCTCTATCTCCTGGAAGGCTCAGAAAGAGGGTTCAGTTACTGGGAGATCCTTCCCCTCTCACTAGGGCTCAGTTCTCTTTCGTCCTCTGACTCCAGTCCCCATCTTCCCTCCAGCCAGCTTCCCTCTTGAAGAGAGAAGATATTCATCTGCTCTGAAGAAAAGTGGTCCCCACCCCATTTCCTGTGCCCTTTCTCACACTTCCCAGGTTTTGTCAGAATTCCCATAGGAAATGGCAGAAGCAGCCCTAGACTGAGTGTGAATTTTGTCACCCGACAGCCCGTGTGCCCTTGGGCCTCAGTTTTCTCATCTGTAAAATGGGGACATGATAGTGCTGCCCCACAGGGCTACTGTCAGTAATAAAATGATAAAAAGTACTTAGGATGGTTTCAGGGACATGGAGCACTTGAAAAATGTTAGATATCATCATCATTATATTATTATTATTTTTATAATCCTCACCTGAGGATACATTTTTATTAATTTTTAGAGAGAGTGGAGAGAGAGAGGTAGATGTGAGGGAGAAACATCTATTGCAGTGATGGCAAACCTTTTGAGCTCGGCGTGTCAGCATTTTGAAAAACCCTAACTTAACTCTGGTGCCGTGTCACATATAGAAATTTTTTGATATTTGCAACCATAGTAAAACAAAGATTTATATTTTTGATATTTATTTTATACATTTAAATGCCATTTAACAAAGAAAAATCAACCAAAAAAATGAGTTGGCGTGTCACCTCTGACACGCGTGTCATAGGTTCACCATTACTGATCTATTGATTGCCTCCTGTATGTGCCCTGACTGGGAATCGAACCCACAACCTTTTGTTGTATGGGTGATGCTCCAACAAACTGAGCCACCCAGGCAGGGCAATTATTTTTATTATTATTACGTGCTTCATGAATATAAGTTCTTATCACAGTGTCTGACACATGGAAGTGTTCTCTAAGTGGGGAAATGAGCCTGTGAGATGTGGGGTTTTGTTGGGAAATATGAAAAGGAGGGGAGACCCCTCTTCCTCCATCACTTACCCCCTAGGGGCTGCCCTGGCTTTTCCCTGCTTCGTGGAGGAGAAATGGCTTCTCACTGGCAGAAGTGAGACCCTGCGCCCATTCTCCTGCCTCAGCATCTCTGTGATTCTCTTGGTCCTCCTGCCACCTTCTTCAATGTTGCCTTCTTCCATCCCTCTGCACTACTATTTCCTTCCTCCTTCTCTCCCTCTTCCCTCGCTTCCTCCAACAAATCCTTCCTGGGCACCCACTGTGTGTACCAGGCCTTATTTTACAATGTGTTTTTTTTCTAAATCCTCACCTGAATATATGTTCCTATTGATCTTCAGAGAGAGAAGAAGGGAGAGAGGGAGAGAGAGAAGGAGAGAGGGAAAGAGGGAGAGAGAGAGAGAGAGAGAGAGAGAGAGAGAGAAACATCAATGTGAGAGAGAAACATCAATTGGCTGCCTCCCCTACGCGCCCTGACGGGGGATCGAACCCGCAACCTAGGTATGTGCTCTGGCCAGGAATCAAACCCACAACCCTTTGGTGCATGGGACAACGCCCGACCAACCGAGCCACCCGGCCAGGGCCAGGCCTGGTTTTAGGTGCTGGGGACATATCATGACACAAGACAGGCAGTCCCTTTACCTTAAATCCAATCACTTTTAACATTTATGCTGTGTCTCCCCCACAAAGCGCATTCATATAAGCATACAATGGTAAAAAAAAAAAAAAGTCTCTCCATGGCCCCCTTAAACCATCCAGGGGTGCTTGGTGGTCGCTGTATCAGACCGGTGGAAATTTGGAGCCCCCTCCTCAGCCAGTCTCAGCAGCTGAGACCTCCCACCTGTTCAAACTCAGAACGCTAGGTCCCCGGCGTCCCCATCCTGGCCACCAGTCTGGTCCTCTCTCCAATCTGCGTGTCCTTCCTATTTGAGGGCACTTCTCACAGGGTGAGTCCCACTTCCCCTGGGAAGAAGCCAGGCCTCTATTTCCCAGCCTGCCTTGCAGCAAGGGGAGACACGCAACCTCTGCTGAACCTGGAGCCCCCAAGCCTCACACATCCCACCCTGTTTGAATACTCAGGACTCTGCCCGTGAAAAAGTTCTTCCTTCTACTGACGCAGAATCGAGA